ATTATTTGAATCAACTGACAAACTTGAATGTTCCAGACGTCCCTCGCAACGAATGAGATTGTTCTTATCGCGAAACAAGTTTAACTGATTAATAAGTTGGTTGTTAACCCGCTGTTTTGAGCCTAAAAGGCGAGTTACTTCAGGGAATGATACCGCTTGGACTTCTCTGGCCCAAAGGATCTCGGCTTCCTTGATGTCGTTAGCACTTAAGGTCTGTATAGAATTGTCACTCGTTTCTTGCCCTTTCAACTTCCTGATGAATCGTAGAACAAACGCGGTGACTCTTAGCAATCTTGTTACACTACTATATTTGTTACACTCCATTACCAATCCAATTCTGGCATGCGAAAGTAGATCGTCCGTTAAATTAACAAGACTGTACGTAACAGTAGGACGAGTCTTGACAGTTTCTGACAAAGCGACATCGGTTTCTAAATTGGTAGGTTGAGGACATTTAGGCCATTGGTCTTTAGGATCTTTAAGGAACTTTGGTCCATGGAGCCACGTGTCATTTTCAGCTAATGCAGTTGCAGAGCAACCACGCGATGGCAAATCCGCTACGTTGAGTTCACCTGGACAAAAGTGCCAATGCTTTTCGTTTGTAAGCTCTCGGATTTCTGTCACACGGCGTTGAACATACTGTTTCCACATCTTGTAATTTCTTATCCAACAAAGCGTCGTATAGGAGTCCGTCCATAAAAATACCTCTGGATCATCGATGATTGCTGAAAGTGTTTTCAATATCGTGTTCACCAATCGAGCTAAAATATTTGCCCCAAGCAGTTCGAGCCTTGGAATCGACTGTCTTTTTAAAGGCGCTACTCTCGTCTTTGACGAATCAAGTTTACTTCGACAGTTCCGTCTTGATATTCTGTACGCAGATAAACAACCGCACTATACGCCTTTTCTGAAGCATCAGAGAATCCATGGATCTGATGAGTTGAGATTGGGCTTGACTTGGTAAAATAACATCGGGGCATACGGATTGATTTTATTGCCAAAAGATCTCTTAGCAACGAATTCCAGGTACTTAATGATTTACCGCTTAATTCAGTGTCCCAGTCGACATTTTCAACACACAAAGTTTGAAACAGACACTTCATATTGATCGTGAAGGGCGCTAGTATACAAATCGGATCAAAGATTTTCGCTGACAGTTTAAGGACCGATCTCTTCGTGGGTGGTAGAGTTCGGGCATACCGCACTAATTCGGTGGTTTCAAATTGGAATACGTCACTTTGCACGTTCCAGTGTAAACCAAGGACCTTTACAATCTCATTCGAACTCGTTTGTGTTACATCTTGTTTACCTTGGTTGAGTGTTGGTTTGTCCGCGTTCACGTATGATTGATGCTCTTCATTTTTTTCGACCATTTCTCGGAATTTCTTCGAATTTGACATCCACTTTCGGAGAGTGAAACCACCGTCTTTCATAATTGCTTGCGCCTTTTCATAAACCTCTACCGCATCATCATCAGTTTTTGCTCCTCCAGCAAAGTCATCGACATAAAATGAATCATTGAGCAAGGAAACCATTTCAGGTTCCCTTTCTTTATGTCTACTTAAATGATGTTGAATGATGCTTGCCAAAACTGCTGGGCTAGGGGTAAGCCCAAACACTAGTCGACAAAACTGGAATCGTCGGATTTTCGGAACAGGTTCAGTGATATCGTCGAACCAAAGGAACCGCAGCATTCGTCTGTCCTCAGGCGATATCTGGATTTGGTGAAACGCTTTTTCTATGTCTGCAACAATACCTATCGGATGACTTCGGAATTTGATAACTGTGTCAAATAAATTCGGAACAAGATTGGGTCCCTTTTCCAGACACTCGTTAATTGAAGGACTTTCCTCGTTAGGTTTAGCCGACCCATCGAAAACAACCCGCAACTTGGTTGTCTCTTTGTCTTCTCTAAGTACTCCATGATGAGGTAAATAATACGATCCATCACTATCATCATCTTCCTCAGGAACCGCTTCGATTATGCCACTTTCGAGTTGTTGCTTGATTACACTGTCATAGTCATTTAGCAAATGTTTATCTTTCTTTAAATGGGAATGAAGTTGTCTAAGTCTTCGAACACACGTTGAATATCCGTTTGATTGTGGCAATGCTTCAGTTTTCCAAGGCAACCTAACTTGATATCGACCCTCTTGTTCGTCAAAGCTAACTTCACGTAAAAACTTGGATTCCTCTGGATTCCCAATATCGTGATTTGTGATTCCAATTGATTCTGTGTCCCAGAAGGTTCTAAGAGTTTCGATCAGTTCGCCATCTTTATTTTGAACATACGATGATTGACTTGCTAGCTCATTTCTCTGCATAATAAGGTGGACCATCGAGGATTCATCGTTCTTTTCTTCACGCATTGTTGGACCCGACACTATCCAACCAAATTTACTGCAAACCGCTACAGGGCCTCTCCCCTCTCCTCGGACCATTTCGTTATTCACAATATCGAAATAATAATCACAACCAATGAGAATATCAATGTTATCGTGTTCAAGTTCATCGCTTTCGCTCAGTTTAACGTCAGCCAGGTTCAATCCCTTCAAATGCGGATATCTTTCAGGACAAATCTTTGTGGGAATAGGCGAACAAATCTTGGGAAAACATACTGCTGAAATCTCGATATCCCCATCACTTCCTTGCAAACTTAACTGTACAACATCACACCTTTTCTTGCTGAATCGATCTCCTCCAAATGTATTTAACTTTAACGTTTCTGTTTTAGTGGGTTGCAACCCGAGCTTTTCTTTTAAACCATTGGTTATGTACGTTCGCTGGCTGCCACTATCCAGTAAAACTCGAACTGGAACCGTTGCCGACTGTTGACTTGAATAGGCAAATGTGGTGGCTGTTTGTAAAAGAACCTTGGAGCAATTCCCATTTGTTGTAGTTGTTGTTGTATGATTTTGACCTTGAGCCGCACCACTAGTCGAATCACCTTTGGTAGTGTTTTCTGGTGTTTTACTCTTTACATCACGCTGACAAATCGATTGATGGTGTCGACCTTCGCACCATCGACAGTTTTGTTGTTTCTTGCAATCCCTTGTTATGTGCCCTGTTCTTAGACATAAATAACAACGTTTATCTCTGGTCAAAATATCCTTTCGCTTGCTTGGGTCTTTAACATGAATACAGGAAGCTGAAAAATGAAATTCACCACAATACACACACTTCGGCTTCGTTTCGTTACTTTCGTCGTCCTTTACAAACAAATTGGCAGCAGACGCTTGATATTTGCTTTTATTTCGTTGGTTGAATTTCCGGAAGTTGTCGATTTCATTTCCGGTCTCTGACTTCCGGTTGTCAATTTCACCGCTTTGGCTTCGAACATTTTCGCTAAGCTCCCTAGCTTCTACTTCTTTACGCATAACTTCGAGCAAATCAGTTATATTCCACACTTCATCGACCGTATTTCTCGCTATATGAAGTCGTATTTCTGCGGGCAATTTTGACATAATAATAGGTATGAGCAAACTGCCGTACTGACTTGAAGCTACTCCTAACGCTTCGAGACCTCTTACGCTAACGCTAATTTTGTCGTAAACAAATCGAAGTTGTGATGGTTTGTCGCCTGAACACACTGGAATTTTTAGTAGTTCGTCCATATGGGCCGAAATAACTTGTTGTTGATTTCCAAATCGTTGGTTTAACAAGTCTACAGCGGATTGATAATTTTCTTCGGTCAAGGATAAACCTTGAATTGAACGTAGAGCTGGCCCTTCGAGCAACGAGTATAAATAATTGAATTTATCGATTGTTGACAGCTGACTATTTTTATGTACAGCACTATCGTACGAGTCCCAAAACGATCGAAATTTGGTTAATTCTCCCTTAAATTTTGGAAGTACTAACTTTGGGAGTTTAGATTTCGTTACATGATGTTGTTGACTTACTTGATTGTGTTGAATTTGATCTGTACTTGCTTGCGGCGCCGAATTATTCGATACAACGCTTTCGTTTTGCAGTTCGCTTTGTTGTGGTTCATTTATATGCTCACCTTCCACGAATATTGCCGGTTGATTCGTAACTAAGTGTCCTTCGCTCGTTGCCTTTAATATTTTCTTGTTTACATCGAGAACTCGAGTGTTAATTTCTTCGGATTCTATAATTTCCTTGTCGATATCTTTTATTTCGCAAATTTCCAATATCTCGCTATCAAGTCGTTTTATATAATCTAGCTTTTCGCGAAGCAGCCCTTGAATCGTAATAAGACGGTCTCGATCACTGTCTTCGTCGTGCAAAAGATCGTTTGCTTCGTTGATGTACTTCGTGATTACTCCGCGATTTGCCTTGCGTATTGCTCGTTTTCGTTCGATTGATTGTGCTTCGGCCATATTCGAAATTCTCCTTGAATCGGTTTACAAACTATATTTCTCAAGCTATTTTTGCGATATTTCTTTCGTTTAGACTCTTCTCAAGCCGCACGTTGGGCGCCATGTAATTAATGTCGTATACTCGTACAATTTAAACGCTTTAATATAAATAAAAATATACAAAATAAAATTCAAACATTGTTGTCGTTCTGTCGATTGTCGAACTTTTTCCTAAAAGCGTTCCTAACTTAGTGTCACGTGTTCACAAAGCGCGCGAAATTGCGCAATAACAATTGACGTCATTTACAGATTCCTACCGTAGCCAAGCTAACTTTTCAGCTTGCCCGGTGTGGATGCACACTCAAACCAAATTGTTTTTGATTGAGCATGCACGCCTACCGCCCAGTGAAACTGACGATAGCCGATTTAATTCGCGCGAAAAGCATATGCTCACAGCCTTGTCCTACATTTTGACAGTGTAAACAGACTTTAGCCTAGCCTTGGTCTGACCTAGGCCAGGAAATCTGGGCCCACTACAAACGTTGACCTAGGCCTAGGCTTGTGGAAATGTAAACAATTTCGGCCCTGGCCTGGGACTTATTTTCATGGCAACATGTGTCCGCAGTGAGAGATTGGCTGACAACCAGCGGACAACGTCACAACACAAAAAAATACACAAAATTAATTACAAAATTCTAGGCGAAAGTGAGCAAGTCTTAAAAAAAATAGTGTAATGATGTAAACGCGCCACATTTACCTTGGCGTTGTAGTTTAAACACCAATTATTGACCAATTATTGACCTCGCTTGTTCGGTCTGTGCTGTGAAATATCAGACCTCTGTTTTTTGCATGGACTTCGCTTCTTTCGTCGCTCGGTCCAAACTAAAAAACCTCGGTCAGATATTTCACAGTGCAGACATCACGCTCGGTCAATAAGGGGCGGACCATTAGAAATCCCGGGAGGGGCGGGGGGTGAAAGTTCCCAAACAAAAAAAATTTGTGCAAAGAAAAATGCCTGGAAAAAAATTCGCACAGCCATTACGTCAGAGAAAAAAAAATCGTGCAAGCAAACAGCAAAGTGCAAATAGTCTCGAAAAAAAATTCTTGCAGGGGTTAAATGCATAAAAAAAATCCTGCAGAGACATGAGACTGAAAAAAAAATCGTGCCGCAAAAATTTTATAACCTCCCCCCTCCCTGGATTTCTAATGGTTCACCTCTAAGAGGCTGATTACATGGTGCTGGGCTGGCCCGGCCCGGTTAACCGGGCTGACTCGTTTGTTTAGGACCTTACTGTGGTTTTAAAACTTGCGTAAAATAAATTTGCGATAAATAATTGGTTTAGTATAGATGCAAACTCATCCTAAACCAAAATTGACTCAAAACTCATTTTGCGGCCCAAGGAAGATTTTCGTGACATTTTTCAGCCCGGTTAACCAGGCTGGCCACCATGTAATCAGCCCCTAAGCCGTTAATCTTGTACGTAGTTTTTCCTTGACATTAACGAGCTTAAGATGCACCAAATCTACGACGCGGACGTGAAGAAAAACTGTAACTATTCCCACAGTTTCATTACACGGACAAAAATTATGGCCTCCAGTTGATAAACAAATTCAGAGACATACTAGTGAAGCAAAATAAAACTGGATTCCAAACATTAGCAACGGTTTTTATGTCACGTCCGCGTCGTAGATTTGGTACATCTTAAGCTCGCCATTCCCCTGTGTGATCCGGCGCCGCACTGGCGCCACCTAGTCTAGAGAACAGGGAAAACCCTTTTGAGTTTTGTCTAGAAACAATTTACTGACATTTATAATTTTATAAGTTGTTTTGACTCTCTTCTGGCCACGAGGGATGTTGAAACACGGTTGAAACGATGGATTTTAAACTGCCAACGCTAAAATCTCGGTCGTCATTATTAGAAACGAAAAACGATGGCTTACCTTCTTTAAGTTCGAAACATTGATGAATAAAGATGTAATCGGAAGGGGAGCTTTTGGGCTTGTTTATAAGGCAAAGTATGATGGCGAGACTGTTGTTGTGAAGAAACTGCTTGGAGAGTCTCTAGATGATGAAAATGGCTTCAGAAAAGAGGCCAAACTCTTGAGCTCTATTAGCCACGAAAACATTGTTCTTTTCAAAGGGTTTTGTAGCTCCCCTTACGCGATAATGATGGAGTACTTATGTTTTGAGTTTTCGCCATTTGAACTGTCTAAAGAGGTGAGCAATTTGACTGATTTTCTTAACTATATGGACAAAATCGACGGGTTTGGTTATTTTGAGGACAAGTTTTCGCTAAAGATCGGCCAAGAAATTTCTGAAGGTTTGGCGTACCTGCATTCTAAAGAAATCGCGCATCGTGATCTCAAGGCTAAAAACATTTTGGTTAGTAACCAACATTACTGTCATATAGCGGACGAGGAAAAGAAAATGAAGTTATTTTCAGAAAGGCCAATTATATGCAAGCTAGCAGATTTTGGCGAAAGCAGGTCCCAGCAGATACAAACGGCGGCGGTTCATTCCACGACAAAGAGGGTTGATAGGTATTTGTTTAATAACTTTAATTTTGCAAGGGGTTATCAGAATATTTTCATTTCAGAGAATCTTACCCCAAAGTCCAGAAAATGGCATTTCAGAGACTCTAGCTTTAAAAATTTTCTAGAGAAGCATACCCCGGACCCCTCTAGAATTCTACGAGGCTCTGACAACTTGTGCCTTGGGTGCTCGTACTAGTGGAGAGGTTTTTGACTTTTTGAAATGGGAGCACCCTGCCATAACGTTTCGAAATAACCACACCCATTTGCCACACCCATTTGTCGGCAAATGTTATACTCACACCCCCGGAGTATATGGAATGTAATAAATTAATACTAATACGGAGCGAATGGTTTTTTTTCGGCGACTTGCGATGAATAGACCTTTTCGACAATTACGTCACAACTACACTGTTTTCAACATAGTACCACCTTAAATGGAATGGATTTCAATTTTTTTCTTACGGGCTATGGGCATATAAGCAGAACATCGTTCTTCAACACGTGCATAAAAAAGAATTTTGGATTTTGACAAATAAATGTAGAAATAAGCTTTAACACGGTTCCATTTAAGGTGGTCCTATGTTGAAATGACGTAATTACCGGAAGGTCTACTGCGGAGCATCAGACCTCGTTAATTTAGACTAGAGTAGAGCAAAAGTTTCCGGATTCGTGAAAGTATCCGTATTCGTTGTTTTTCAAGTTTTTGGAGTTATGAGGCGTTTGCACTACGACACTGTAACCGAAAAGAATTTGGATTACATTACGGAGAAGGTTACGGGTTCATTGAAATTTCTGTTTGGACCTGTTTACATAGTAAATTATCTCGGATACAATATTTTCGGATACAAAGTTTCTACATTTTTTCCGGATTCAAAGTTTCCAGATACGACTCAAAACCGAGATGATTTCCTATCGGATTTGTCGCTGTAAACGGCAACATGAATCCGTTCCAAACATTTTGGTATCCTGACAAATCCAGAATCTTTTGCTCTTGTAAACAGAATCTCTGGTAATCCACTTTTCCTCACAGTCGAAATACCAGTCAACCTAAAATAACTGGGGCGGGAAACCGGCACGAGGTAGTCGTCAAGAAATGTAATTGCTGCGAAGTAGAACATTAGTATGTTACTGAGTTAATTTCGACCAATAATTGCGGGACCCACTGAGAATTTTCATAAAATACACAACAACTGTAACTCCGAATAAAGACAACATTTTTGATTCAACGCTTCGATTTTATTTAGTCATCATCAGGTCGAAACGTTGAATAAAAAATGTTGTCTTTATTCGGAGTTACCGTTGTTGTATATTTTACTGAGTTTCTTGCATAAAGTTTATGTGTGAATTTAGCTATTCATTTTTCGTACTTAAATAAATTGCCAGAGGAACACCTGTGTATATGGCTCCGGAAATCTTGGTGAAATCCCGCCGCTTGAAATCAGCCAACCTGGAAGACCTCAAGAAAGTTGATGTATGGGCACTTGGCATGGTAATGTTCAACCTAGTAAACCCGGATTTGAAACACCCATTTCAGTTAGATCTTGTGCGAGACGCAAGCGCAATAGAGCAAGTGGAAGAGTTCTTACGACTTGAGAAACAGTCTAGTGGATCGAATAAGTATAAGACACTTCAAGAAACAATCTGGCTCCCCATTGCCAAAGTACATAGAAATTGCACAGTAGTCGATCCAATAAAACGTCCAACTGCTTTGGAGGTAGTACAAATATTCCAGTCTTTGCTATGCAGCAAAATCGAAGAAAATGTAGCTGCGGGACATAATGAAGATCTTGAGGAAGAAGAAGATGGAAGTCTGAATGGAAGGTAATTATAAGATATATGGTTGGAGAGACCGGATATAAGAACCTACATAGCTTTAAGGGATGTATCGGGCGATACATGCACATAAATTGTAAGGACTTTTTCCATTTGACATATTACTAGACAAAATAGTGTATGATTAACACGCCTGATTTTACTTAGGCCAGAGTCAAACATCGAACTTTTCATGCGCCGAACCTAATGCAAATGAAGTGAAACAAAGAACTTAGCTCATTAACATTAGGTTCGGCGCATGAAAAGTTGACGCTTAATTGACCCTGGCCTAAAATTAGTAGCTGAAATTAACTTTTTCTGGCCGGGAACGAGGAAGCAAGCCCTCAAACTTCTAAATTCCAAATTGCTAAGAAACCCTCTTTAACCTTTACCTCAAAATTACCGTCTATTTTACATAATGGTGGGTGCGCAACTGCCACACCTGACCGAAATTTACGGCTGTGTTGCTAAGTATAAAGTTCATCAATTGGAGAAACACCATGATTGGAGAGTCCGTGGGAATAAAGCCCGTTTTCCATTAGGCGAATTAAATTGCGCGATCGCGGAGCGAAAACTAAATACAGCAATATGATTGGTCAGCGAAAAAATTCGCCGCGAAAAAGTAGGAAGCTATCCATCTTTTTATTTGTTTGCTTCGCGCGAACAAAATCGCATAGTGGAAAACAGGCTTAAAGATCTACTTCGAGAAACATAATTTGGAGAAGTGCGTAAACAAGTTTAATTCTCTGGTTGACAAAATATTCTATATAAAAAAACGTCCACCTACTTTGAAAATATTACAGCAACTGCTCCATTCGTTCAAACTCTTCTATTGTTTGACGTTAGTATTTCAATCAGAACCTTCGCGTCAACTTTTGGATTTATAGTAACGTTCTGTTATGGTCGCCGAAACGTCATCTAAAATCTTTCTTTTACCATCATGTTACATGTTAAAGCAAATGCTTTTTTATCGCGGATTAAAGCAAATGCTTTTTTATCGCGGAATTAAAGTTATTAAAAGTTCGCTTATATATAACCTAACAATATATTTCAGATATTGCCTTTATTGGATACGGATTGGAACGTTTCTTTTTTGTTACTGTTTCGCTGTTACTCTCTTCGTCACTCTCCTCGTTATGCATATAATATATTAATATATCAAGTCTCCTAATTTAGCAACGACAAAGACAAGAATCCAACACAATACACAACGTGTATCGACCTGACAGGCGAACCTTCAAGCAACAATGAAGAGGTAAATATATTATTTCACATCAACCTCTTCTCTACTCTACTCCCGTAGGCAAATCTTCTAATGTATCTCGTCATTTTACATCCCTTGCATGCACTGTAATTTCTGCATTCAACCAAATCAATGGTTTATCTTTACATTGGAGAAATCTCAAATGCTTGTTGCGAGTTGCTGCCTGGAACAAGTTGTTATCATCTTGTATCAAGGTTGATAAAGTAAACAGACTTGTTCACTTGCAACTACTTATTCCAACTTAAAAAATCTGATATAGTCTGTTCGCAACACTTTGTTAACAAGTTGATAACAACAATCACGTAGCAAGTTATTACAAACAGCCTGTATCAGGCTTGCTGAAACAAGTCGTTGCACGTCTGTTGAACCCGAGCGAACACATCTATAGATATCGGCTTGACAACAACTTGCAATAAGCCTGTGAGACTTCTGGCTGTAGCGTTTCATACAGTCTTTACCTTCACTTTATTCATGCGAGTTTTGTAACTTTTGCAGCAACAACGATTAAAAGTACTCACGAGGAAAGAGAAAACTTGTGCAGTTATTGACTTGACGTGTCATGGAGGCACAGATCTAAACTATGCAAGGTTAAAAGATTTAATCACAAATACTTCAACACTGGCCTGAGTTCTGGCCGATTTGACTTTTTGAACCGCCACTTTCAAATTCTTGAAGCCAACATATTGTCATTATACAATTACTTTATGGTTTCCATGTTTAGATGGCCTGATCCAAACACGCGAGAATGTTGCGAGAGTTAAGAAAAGCGCGCGAAACACGAACCGAAGGCGAGTGATTTTGCGCGCTTTTCTTCACTCGAGCAACATTCCCAAGTGTTTGGATCAGGCCATCCAAACATGGAAACCATAAAGTAATTGTTTTATAAAATAACAACAACACGATGGTCTTCCGTGTTTGGATGGCCTGATCCAAACACGGGTTTCGACCAATCAGAACACGCGTTATATACATGTTATTTTATAATAATATTTGTGAATTTAATTTCTAACGCGAAAAAAAAACATGAAACCTAAACAGAACGAACATTTTCCTGCCATGATGGAAGACCAGTTGCATGCATGATATTATAAACAGGCTAATTGTAGGGTATTGTTGCAAAATTATTCCTTTGGTTGTTTTAGAAACAACGAGACGGGAATAATGAGAGCTAGTTGATACAAGCCAATACAGTGCGTTGGCGAAGAATCCGGCTAAAACATGAATCAAACAAAAATCCTATTTATATCTGAATTCAACATAGCATTAAGCATATTATGCTCGTTTGCGAGGAATTTCTGTGTCTTTCTACAGTTATATTTTGCTAATTTCAATGATTTTCTTATATGTGGTGTTTTTATGCAGGAATAATGAAAGAAGGATGAGTGTGAGCAGTGCCAGGTAAGTCATTCCACCGGCCTTAGCAAACTCACTCTTGTGACCTCCAATAATTAGTCTCGGACCGGATTTTAACACTTAATACGCATGTAGGACTTCAGAAATACAATAAGTTTTCTAAATATTTATTTTGCTTTCAAAGAGCTCAGGAGCCGATAACAACTGGTGTTCAAGAGAAAGATGAAGACGAACCACCAAGTTACGTTGCAGATAGCTATGATAGCCATGACGAAAATTCTGGTAGGGCAGATAATGACCCATCACCGGCAAGGCAAGTAATAGTGTAGTATAGCAATAAAAAATAATCATATACAAATAGCATCATTAATTTAATTTTTGAATAAAGTTTCCATTATTATAGATATTATAAAAATAACAATAACAATAGAAAAAATATTAATAGTGATCAGTATACATAGTAATGGCAATAACCCTTAATCTTACATCTTGGATTAATTCCCTGGCATTCGCTGGTGCCGCATTCGAATGTCAGGAAAACATTTTAGAGATTTAAACCTTCGACAATAATTTTATCTTTAGAAAGAAAAGACGTCGCTCTACAGTTGCAGCCGATACAACTGAAAGTTCATCGGAATCGTACACTGTACTGGACAAGATTGCGTATTACAACGGCGATCTTCTGCTTCCGATTTACTCGACTAAACAAAACGTCTTGTCCCCACTTGAAGTGATTTGCCTTCTTCATAACGTTGGAGAATCCGTTAGCAATGAACTTGTCTGTACTCGGCAGCCGTTACGGATTGAACACAACAGAACATTTATCGTAGATCTTGAGTCGCTTAAATCAAGCGAAGACGTAAAATGTGACGATGTGGGCCGCTGGAGGAACAACAGTTGTAATAAATACTATTTCCTGAAAGATGATGAGACGCGGGATTGGATTCAACTGGAAAAAGAAGACATCGATATTCAAGTCGATGTCGTGACGTTGAAACGCATGTATTTTAAATTGCAGGATGATGAAAAATTCCGAAGACGAATTGACACAGCAGTGTGTGAGTGGAAATTATTTAATTAGTTTAGTCTGGATAATAGTTCCATTGCTTTTGAGTACTAAATCGCGCAAAACGCCAAAAGATTGGCTCTCCTGTTTCGCTGTTAAATGCAAGCAGCAAGTCAAAACGATAAACAATGTCCGTTGAAAATATAATTGCCCAGCAAATAGATCGTAAAAAGGCATATGAATTGAATATATAAAAATATTTTATTGAAACATTGAGTAACGTTCCGTCATATTAAAGGCGACATCATCAAACTCAATACAGTTAAGCTATTGTACGATGATGTCGCTTGTAATGTGACGAAATTATTAAATTCTTTTAATATACTCATATCGATGTTTGAATATGTATTTTTTTTATTAATTATGTGCCGGGCAATAATATTTTTAACTACTGTAGATTTAATTTTTTGCCAAGTGTTCCTATCGATAATGCCTCGAGGCTCGGCAACAAACACTAGCTTTTTATCCAAAAATTCCTCTTAGATGAATTGCGTTCATAACCGAATTGCGTTCATAAACTCTTTGCGTATATAAATTTGGCATCTACGTCATTGCATTTGTATCGAGACTAGCACGAGTGAAATACAATGCATGGGAAATAGTATGCTGCCTCGCTGGAATTCAACAATGACCAACGTGAGGTTTAAGATGAAAACCATGTTCTTTATCCGCATAAAACGATGTGTTCAGTAAAACGGTGCATATACTGTATGCCTTTAAATTTAATTTTTAATACAAGTACTTTGTTTTCCCACTGTTATAGTGCCCAATGGTGAACCCTATCGCTATTGTATGGTTCAGTATGCGTTTAAAGACGGAATTGAACACCCTATCGTAAGAACACAACATGGAAATTCGAAAACACCCACGATGAAACCGTACGTTCGAACCTGGTCCAGTACAAAGGAAGCCATGAAGAGTGCATCTAAAGAATTAAACCCTCGTGAAGTTGTGCACAAGGTCGTGAGAGATGATCTTGGAGGTCTCGCAAGTTGTTCTATCTATGGGCAAATACCACGTAATCGACAACAAGTAAAGGACCTAGCGAGAATTCAAAAGGGCAAAAGTCACAAGAAAAGTCTATCAGGAAATGACGAACACGATGATCCTTGGTACCGTATTTTAGGAGAAAGCAAGAAACAGGCTGCCAACAAGAAGACGGCTTTTATCAGAGATGTTCGTGTAGCTCCCGAGCCATTATGTGTCTTGACGACTGATCGACAACTTAACGACCTTAAGCGTTTTTGCTGCAACCCAATCGAGTATCGCCCGTTCACAGTTGATCCAACCTTCGACATCGGAAAGTATAACGTGACCCCAATAACATACCAACATTTGTTGCTGGAAAACAGACGGGACGGAAAACATCCATCACTTATTGGCCCAGTTCTCTTGCACGAGAAAAAAACAACCGAGACGTATTCAACTTTTAGTGGAACATTAAGAACCCTTGAACCAGAATTACGTGATGTAATGGCATTTGGCACTGATGATGAAGAAGCTCTTATTCAAGGTTTTAAGAACAGTTTCGATCGATCGGTACATCTCCTTTGTGAACTTCATCTGAAAAAGAACGTAGAAAAAAAACTACAAGATATGGGGATTGTCGGGGAGGCTAAAACCAACATTGTCGCGGATATCTTCGGAAAATCGACTGGTACAGTTCGGGAAAGTGGCTTGACGGAAGCGGAAGATGAAGATAAGTTCCAAAACATGCTCCAGAATTTGGAACAGAAATGGTCATCGATACACAAAGATGGCGCAGCGTTTCACAAATGGTTTGAAGCACAGAAAAGTAAAGAGTTCGTGATGTCCGTCATTAACCCAGTTCGTCAAAGAGCAGGGCTTGGTTGTCCACCTGAACGATTCACCACCAACCGATCCGAACAGACCAACAGACAGATCCAAGAATTCGTAAAGAAAGATTCGAATGGAAAGAAGAGTGTGGACGAATTCTCGTTTTGTATATCACTAGCAAAACTAGTGAATACACAAAACCAAGAAGTGGAATTGGCAGTGGCGGGGAGTGGAGAATTTAAGATTAGAGAAAAGTTCAGATTTCTAGAAGTGTCACCGGATAAGTGGGCGAACATGCAAGATGGGCAGAGGATGAAAGCGTTGGCGAAAGTGCACGCGGTCACCTTGGAACAATCGTCTGCCTCGTCCACGGATCGCATAAGCAACATTTTAAATTCACGTGAACAACCACTCACACAAGAAATTCTTCGTGGTGGCATTGACTGGATTCCTCGAGCACTTGTTTCTACTATGGTTAACAAGGCCATCACTCTGATGACAACTCCGGAGGCAATAACAAACCAATCTAGGGACACGTTCGTAGTGGCGTCTTCGTCCGACCCTCGAAAGCCCCATATTGTAAATATCTTCCCCAAAGGCAAAACCGACTGTTCAGATTGTCCTGGGTTTAAAGCATCGTCACTTTGTAAGCATACAATCGCGGTGTTTGCAAAATTAAGGCGAATGGATGAATTCATTAGTTGGCTCGTCCGTACGAAAAGAGGCAAACAAGGCATCAATTTTTCTAAGGCCATTACATATGGAATGCCAGAGGGAAGAGGAAAGAAAGGAAGTGTTGCTCCAAGAAAGAGAGGAGGAAAAGTAAAAACAACAACGATGGTGATACCGCGTGTCTCTGCTGTTATCCCGGAGCCTTTCACCTTCCACCAAACATCCATTCCACTTTCAACACCCTCCTTCACCCAGCTCTCCTCTCCTTACCAACAGCTGCTGTTACCACCTCCGCTAACACATGACCGCAACTTTCAGCCAATGGTTGAAAGATCTCATCAAGATAATCCATTAAGAGCACCATCACACCCACCTCAAATGCACCCCACAATTTCGAGAGACCAGCCATCCAGTTTAATGTTACAACCATCTGCAGCTCATACCCACCCAACAGTGCCTGTAGACCAACAAGCCAATTTAATGTTACGACCACCTGCAGCTCGAACCCATCAAACAGGTTCAGGAAACCAGCCAGCAGATTTTATATCCGAACCACCTCCACGTTTGGTGCTACAATCACCTGTTTTACCGGCATTTGTTCGTCAACCAACACCCTTTAGTGGCACAACCAACATCCGTCCGCAAACACAAGAAATCAGATTCCCAAATCCAAATCCTGGTCAGTTTTTGGTGTACTTATTGCAGTTTTGTCCTTGGAAAACATCCATGTGCTTCGGATGTGGTAATTCACTAAAGCAAAATGACAGCATACCTGAAGCGCCTCACGATTTGGTAATCGTATCTAGAATGTTGAGAGAATGGTTGTATCAAAAGAAAATGGCAAATGTGTACTTCCACTGCAACAACACCTGCGTGAAACGCAGTGAACCAAATTTCAATGGACGTCTATGCATAATACTTCCAGAACTTAAGCCTCATCTTCAGTTAGCTCACAAGCAGCTTTTGATCAACAATATTGGGTTATACTGTCATTAGTCTGCAGGAAAACTATCAATTTACATTTTGTTTATAGTTCACTTTACGTATGTATACAGAGGGACAACTGGTCTTAATTTCTCTGGAAATGTTAACGAGGCCAGTCGACCATGCAGTTCTTATGTTTTCTTACGCACATAATAGATTTCAATATTATTTGTTATTTAGAACTGTAGAAGCGTGCGTTGCGTTCAGTTAATTTGAACACTATAATTGGATAGCATTAATTGGCAAAAGATATTGGCAACAAACTTTCCTAAATTTGAGATATTTGTGACAAAAAAAAAATATTTGTTCCTTCCGCCCTTTTCTTTTATCTAAAAAATGACGTGAGAAGAAGGGTAGACGTTACAAAAACCATCAGTATCAGCTGAAGTTTCATTACTAGTTTCTACATAACTTATGGTTAAATTATATGTAGTCGAGAGCAAAAACTACAAGATTTGGCATTATAATGACACGAGTCAGGTATATTTTGAGGATATATAGATAAATGGGGAATCACATATCTTTTGAATGAGGACGAATGACACGTAGGTACTTTTTAAATTTTTCCAATATCTTAATATGTCTTCTAAAAAGACAAAGTTAGCTTTATTGCCAATACCCTTAAGTGTTGTAATTGCACCGTGTTCAAATTAAACAAATGCGATTAACAACGTTGGATTGAAATTAAAAGATATATTGTGCCAATTTGCACTGATACTATTCTTATTCAGAAATCAGCTTTTTACTTAATGGCCATTTTCCGTCTAATTGGATGAACAAGAACTTTGAATTATCATGTCTGTTTACCAACTGAGTAATGTAACTTATTGTTATATGGATATAATATCCTTTGCAAATGTTATTTTGCTATTTAGAAAAGTATATATATTATACGCTATACACGCGATGTGTCTTACGAAATGTTTGAATCTGAGTGTTTCATTTTATTCAAACTTGGTGTATTCTTTATTGTCGAAATATTCGGTGCTTCATTCTAACGCAGATATACTGCGTTATAACCAAGACATATATAGCCATTTCCTAGGGGGGCATAGCATAGCTTCAAGTAGCTACAGGCAATTCTTGTGGCTTTTTTCCAAAGAAATAAACGATTTGCATGGGTTCACAATCCGTAATCCGCAATCCGTAATCCGCAATCCGTAATCCGCAATCCGTAATCCGCTACCCGTAAAGTCTACCATGCCCCTGGATTACGAATGGTCTCTTTAAGTCTATATCAAAGAAAGATCAACTTTAAAATTTTTTTTTAAAAAGCAACTCACAAAAATGAGACTGACAATAAAAAATACAAAAAGGCCTATTATGAAAAACAATTTGTTAAGTACAAAAATGATACAAACAAAAACATGGCAAACTATCAACGAAGTTCTTAACAGAAATAGAACAAATCTATCTAATACTTTTTTACAAAAGGGTTCAAATAACAATGTTACGAATCCCCGGGAAATTGCTAAACAATTTAACAAATATTTCGTAAATACATAAATAGATATATTACTCAGCACACTCCCTATCAGAGTTTTTCAGTGACTGGTTACACTAGAGCTGGAACTAACGTGAAGCAGACAGAGGTAGACTGTACGTGAGCTTACAAATGGTGCTTTAAGCAGCTGTCATTAGTCCATACCTCATTAATGATCTGACCTAGTGCCTACCCACCCTGTCAACTTTCCCTGTGGGAGGAAACCAGAGTCCCCAGAGAAAACCCACGACTTTCGATAGAGCATTGACTTTTACTCTTTTCACATGAGGACTGGGTTCGAGTCATTGAGAAATTCTCATTGAGATTTGAACCTGCAACCTTAGAGGCGAAAGGCAAGTGTGCTAACCACTTTGCCACCAACCTCCCTAAATAATAACATAACATAACATAACATACAAAAGCTACCTTAATGGTAATTATGTTGAAAGTGTGTTTATTGAACCTGTGACAGAATATGAATTGCAAATTGAAATTAATAACTTAAATGAAAATAAAAGTGCAGGTCATGATAAACTAGTGCAAAAATGATAAAAACGATTAGTGAAGAAATAATCAAGCCTCTAACATATATTTATAATTTGTCATTTCAAACTGGAAAAATACCAAACTTTATGAAACTACAATCCTGGCAAAAATTATCGTGGACAGCACGTGCGTGAAACAAAAATAGATATATTTCTACATAATTAATCCGCCAGAAAATTTCTCCCCCTCCTACCCCCAATTCAATGTTGGTAAATGAAACTTTTAAAATTTGAATGCGAGAAACAACATTGAATAGGGGGCAGGGGGTGAAAACATCAAAACATTTTATATTCTAAATGGTATTGAACATTTAAGTTATTCTGATAATTGTAATTTCTTTAGAGAAGTTCATAATAAATATATTCTCTCCACAAATCGCTTCTCTCCTACAGGTCATTTTTTGTGGTATAATATATCATTTTGTGATGTGTGCTTTGTCTTTTGTGATGTCCTAATGTATTCGTCTTCTTTAACTCATTAAGCGGCAATGCGCCCGAATGCGCCCTGAGATTGGCAAGGGGGTAAGCGGCAATGCGCCCGAATGCGCCCTAACATGACTCCTTAATATACCATGCCTAAATCACACCAGTGTTTCCAAAAAAAAAATTAAAGCACGCGTGCTATCGTGCCTAATTAACCTGACATGGTTATAGTACATAGGTGGTTAGATAATACATTTCAACAGATGATATTGTTGCCTTATTGGGATAGAAAATGGTAATACAGTGATAGATAATGGCTGTGCCAGAGTGCTTTCGTGCCTTATTGGGATAGAAAATGGTAATACAGTGATAGATAATGGCTGTGCCAGAGTGCTTTCGTGCCTTGCGATAGAAAATGGTAATACAGTGATAGATAATGGCTGTGCCAGAGTGCTTTCGTGCCTTGTGATAGAAAATGGTAATACAGTGATATATATGGCTGTGCCAGAGTGCTTTCGTGCCTTGCGATAGAAAATGGTAATACAGTGATAGATAATGGCTGTGCCAGAGTGCTTTCGTGCTTTGCGATAGAAAATGGTAATACAGTGATAGATATGGCTGTGCCAGAGTGCTTTCGTGCCTTGCGATAGAAAATGGTAATACAGTGATATATATGGCTGTGCCAGAGTGCTTTCGTGCCTTGCGATAGAAAATGGTAATACAGTGATAGATATGGCTGTGCCAGAGTGCTTTTGTGCCTTGCGATAGAAAATTGTAATACAGTGATAGATAATGGCTGTGCCAGAGTGCTTTCGTGCCTTGCGATAGAAAATGGTAATACAGTGATAGATAATGGCTGTGCCAGAGTGCTTTCGTGCTTTGCGATAGAAAATGGTAATACAGTGATAGATATGGCTGTGCCAGAGTGCTTTCGTGCCTTGCGATAGAAAATGGTAATACAGTGATAGATAATGGCTGTGCCAGAGTGCTTTCGTGCCTTGCGATAGAAAATGGTAATACAGTGATAGATATGGCTGTGCCAGAGTGCTTTCGTGCTTTGCGATAGAAAATGGTAATACAGTGATAGATATGGCTGTGCCAGAGTGCTTTCATGCCTTGCGATAGAAAATGGTAATACAGTGATATATATGGCTGTGCCAGAGTGCTTTTGTGCCTTGCGATAGAAAATGGTAATACAGTGATAGATATGGCTGTGCCAGAGTGCTTTTGTGCCTTGCGATAGAAAATGGTAATACAGTGATAGATATGGCTGTGCCAGAGTGCTTTTGTGCCTTGCGATAGAAAATGGTAATACAGTGATAGATATGGCTGTGCCAGAGTGCTTTTGTGCCTTGCGATAGAAAATGGTAATACAGTGATAGATATGGCTGTGCCAGAGTGCTTTTGTGCCTTGCGATAGAAAATGGTAATACAGTGATAGATATGGCTGTGCCAGAGTGCTTTTGTGCCTTGCGATAGAAAATGGTAATACAGTGATAGATATGGCTGTGCCAGAGTGCTTTTGTGCCTTGCGATAGAAAATGGTAATACAGTGATAGATATGGCTGTGCCAGAGTGCTTTTGTGCCTTGCGATAGAAAATGGTAATACAGTGATAGATATGGCTGTGCCAGAGTGCTTTTGTGCCTTGCGATAGAAAATGGTAATACAGTGATAGATATGGCTGTGCCAGAGTGCTTTTGTGCCTTGCGATAGAAAATGGTAATACAGTGATAGATATGGCTGTGCCAGAGTGCTTTTGTGCCTTGCGATAGAAAATGGTAATACAGTGATACACATGGCTGCATTTTATTATTTTTGCCATGGAGACGCACGTTGCGACGAAATTGGATACCCATATTCTGGACTGCAATTTTCAAAGGACATTCACCGCCTGGCAAATGTGCGGCATTGTAAACCGAGTTGCGGGTTATCGTAGCCAATAATATTCGAGCTTATACCTCGCGCGTCACACGGTATATGACTGGCTCTCATTGTTACTGTCAACTTGCAATTGTTAGCACGTGGAAACATTTGTTCCTATTATTGTTTTCGAGTCTGGATAAGTTCTTGTGCGCAAAGTAAGTGCAATGAATAACATATATACTGTGACTTTTGTTTACCCGTCATTTGTTATTTTTATAAACATTTATGTGTGGAGCCTACATATCTTTTTACAGTATGACTGCACCATCCACATCACAGTCTCCAATTAAAGGCCTCTCTGTTAGGGAAGACGAAAGTGGAAATTGCGCACTTCACACAAAAGTGAAAAAAATCGCTACCGTTGTATATCGAATTTCTACTTCGATTTGAAGGCGTTCATAAACTTTCTGTGTATCGATCACATCAAGTACAATGGTTTTATTGTTGATGTTCATCGAATCGATGGTGTATCAATGTAAGTATAGCTCCTAAATGTTACTCGTTTTTATATCATTTTAAGAGAACGCCTCCCTCCGGCATAAGTCGGCTGCTTTGTTGTCTTTTTTTAGAAATTCATTTTTGTACTGCGGTAGTCTAATGCAAGAATTAAAATCATATTTATAAAATAACATGTATATAACGCGTGTTCTGATTGGTCAAAAGCCGTGTTTGGATCAGGCCATCCAAACACGGAAGACTATCGTGTTGTTGTTATTTTATAAAACAATTACTTTATGGTTTCCGTGTTTGGATGGACTGATCCAAACACTTGGGAATGTTGCTCGAGTTAAGAAAAGCGGGCAATCCGATCCGCGTGTTTGGATCAGGCCATCCAAACACGGAAACCATAAAGTAATTGTATATTGCTAAACAAAACGAGGTTAGTTTTAAAAGAAAGCAGTTCTTTACAACATTGACTTACAGGGCGCGTTTCTTCTTAAATTGATCCACGAATTTTAACTTTATGCGCAAGTATGTGATTTTTTTCAAGCACTATAGGTGCCACTGGCACTGATGCCAGCCGTTGTTGCTCCGGTGAACTTACGTCATTCACACTTCGAATTGTTTTCCGGCGCTTGAGATAAGGAAATCTATGTGTTAGGATGATTGTTATGATAACATGTTGTTTGCTCGAGCTTCCTAATTTAAAGGTCCACTTGTCTCACAATCGGGACGGCTATTCTTGGTTGATATGTTATCTCGAGTTAATGTTGGATTTTTTACGACTATTATAATATTATTATCAGCCATTAGAGTGTTGCACGAATCTATAGAGTTTTGTACACTGATTAGTCATTACGGCGACTTCATCTGTTGTTTGTTTTTGGGTTTTTTTGTATTTATGACCAAACATCAATTTATCAACACTTGCTCACATGCAAAGTATCAGAGATGTATTTTTCATATTAAAGGAAATTGTGTCAGTGTGTGCTAAGTAGGATAAAAATATAAACAAATAAAAATTAGTGCTCTTCGATAAGAGTTATTATTTCTAAAATAACAATTTAGTGTCGGGCTATCTTTAAAACAGGGAATGGGAAATCCGGATTCCCCATTTTTCAGATAAAGAAATTAATTGTTATGAAATGAATTCCAGTTACAATTTATATTATACTGTTAATTGAATAGTGAGTTGACGCAGAATACAAATAATTTCCCTCTTGAAATATATTGACACTGCGTATTAATTTAATTTCCGATCGATACCAACATGCAGTCTTATAATAAGCCAACTAAGTGCGCTGTCAAGAGCCGCCTATTATTAAAAAAGACACACCTCCGGTGTCACAGTGATTTGTGTTACCCCGTGAACTCTGTTCCCCCTCGAATATAATTCCTATCGCAGTACCGGCAGAATATCCCTTGATGTCCAACATGGCGACCGTCTGTTTATATCACTGAACTAAATGGATGTATTTGACACACAAAATCATCTTTTTGAATTTGTCATGCTGAAAATTTTCAAAAGTAGGAAATTGAATTATTCAGTTTTGCTCCTTATGGCAATTTTTCGTCTTTATACCTTGAAATACACCTCATTTTATGGACTCCGTTGAATCACTTTTCGTTCAATCACTGCCATTTTAAGTGCAACTAGTGATGGCATAACATAAAAGTATAAAAGTCCCTATAACCTGGGAATGACATGAGCTGTGAATAAATTGTTAATGCCATTCTTCACTATTTTCAAGGTACTTTCAGGTAATGCATAAAATTGGGGACAAAACTTTCATGTCATGTGCACTTTAAAGACGCTAATTTTTTCAAATGAGTGCATATATAGAGAACGGCATATATAGAGAACGGCAGAGACAAAATGTTCGTTGTTCACACTGTATGTTGTTTTCACAGGGAGTGTTTCCTAACAATTGAGGAAATGGAGAATGTAAAAAAATTTAAAGCGGCCATTAACAGATCGTTTGGTACTAAAGGAGGGATTTTAGCCCATGGAATCAACGATGGCCAATTGAGCAGCTATATCATGGGAAAAATGCAAGAGTTCTCATTAAGAGATGGTAGGCAGATGATTGCCAGCTTAACCATTGGGCGTCAACCAAATTTGCGATCTGTTAACGCGTTAGGGGAATTTGTCGACGAAACAGATCTGTCAGCTGTGGAAAGGAAAGTGGACGATCCTGACACAGCAGTGTACATTCTCAATGATAAATTGCAGGTGCGTTTCCTACAGCAAGACGATTTTATGATACTATATAGGTCTGTATTAAACTGTCACTCAATTTATCCTCGATAGATTAACAAGGATGGAGTGATTCCAGAGCAGTTTTGGGAGCATAAATTCATGGTGCCTTTTTTGAGGACAATGCCTGCCGCAACGTCCGATAAAAAGGTACGGAATTTTCTACATGGCCACGAAGTTTTCATCGACTTGCCACTGCAAGAGTTCAACTGGGAACTTTTCATAAGCAAGGCAAAGGGTTTCTTCAAAAAGAACTTTCTGCCGTTTATTATCCTTTTGAGTGGTGGATTGGCTATTTTCCATTATGAAAAAATTCTTTCATGCATAGGTAAGATTTAGAAATGGAGAACCTTTTGTATTGTAAAAGCACATTTATAATATTACTGGTTAGGCTGTTTTGTCCGCGCAAATATTTTTTATTAAAACAACTCCGTTTTAGGTCTCTCTCTCTCGTTATTTCGCCTTGCCGTTTTTTTAGAGCCTCCGGCTGGAGTCAGGTCTCGCGATATGGGTCGACGGACAAACCATTATTACTCCAGTTTACACCCTCGCTGTAACTGAATAAAAGCAATACTCTTTTCAGGTTCCTGCCCTGTTCCGACCGCCATTGGGGATCCCTCCAGTGGGAAATCAACCGCATTGAAGTTGATAAGCCAGTTGGCTGGAATGCACATGGTTTCCCAGTCTTCTGGGGAATTCATTGTTTCTGGCTTGGTGAATACGACAATCCCGGTGTGCTGGGATGATCCAGCACTTCCGAGCATGGTTCGTCAGCCTCTAGTTTCTGTGTTTGATGGTCTTGGAAGTCAGACACAACTGCGTGGAAACGAGAAACCATTGACTTCCTTTTTACTGACAGTGAATTTCAAACTGGACGATGACATGAGGTACGTATGGAATATTATTTTATGGACACCGAGAATGTTCTGTACCAGTCAATTCCAACTGCGATTCCCCCCCCCCTGAGCCCGCCCCGTCGGGCATTTGACTCTGTCCGCGGTTGCACAAAATTGGTCAGCAGCGGTTGCACGCACAAAATCGTAATCATCTGTTGGAAAAGAGCATCTTTACACATCTTTCACTCATCTTTATAAGAATTCATGCGAAAAATTATATGTAAATTTTACGTTTTATATATAATATCATTCAATTTAAATATGCCTTTTCACCTTTGTCATGATATAATTAATTTATATTAGTTGCGTTTTACCACTTTGACGTGGACGCATTTATATTCCTTTCATTACACATTAAATATAAAAAGTCATGGGTATCTGGCTAGCCCGGACGGAGGGGCAATTAACCACTTTTCCCCCCGCATCCTGGGGAATTTGACGACGGTTTTCGCCCACACAGTGGGGAATTTGACCAAATTTTCGATGATCGCAGTTGGAATTGACTGGTACATTACACTAGTAAAATTATATTGTTCTCGCTTGTCATTGAATGAACGAATGATGTTTTTTTACCAGTGAAAAGACATCGTTTCCCTTGTGAAATTATACCGTTCGCGTTTTCGTTTCATCAGATATCTATGAAATTATGGCCGAAAGTTGTTTTTTTCACATTCGAGTCACATTTTGTGCCAAGAAAGTCACCGTACTTTACCAGAGTCTCGAAGAGATGTGAATTTACTTGAAAGCTTTCTCAGAACAAATGACAAGGATAAGAAAATTGAATTCCGGCCGTGAAGCATAACTTATAACCGAGACATCAGTCAGTTTGTTAATATGCATATAAGTTCCAAAATATATTGAACTTTGATTTTCTTTGTACGAATTTGATCTATAGTCATTCGTGAATTTGAATTGACGTTGCAGGCTCTTGACTGCACGACCCATACTCGCTTGAGAAAATAAACTGGTCCATTTACAGCCAGTGGCGTGCTGGGTACTATTTTTCTGGGGGGGCCAGTCGGCTGGCAACCAATATGCGCCCCTATAATATAACGCTTGATAAACGAGGGCCGAAGGCACGAGTCGAGCGCCGCAGGTGCGAGGTTTGTCTAGGGGAGTCCGAGGGCATGCCCCCAGGAAAATTTTTGAATTTAGAGTCTCTGAAATGCCATTTCCTGGACTTTGGGGGAAGATTTGACAGAAATCTGGTGGTCAGGAAACGGCATTACAACGTGTCGAAATTTGCAAATTGGTTAGAATTTAGTAGTAGTACTTAAATTGGGCAATGCTAACTACTTCCAGCAATTAATCTAATCCCAATTCTATTCTCTACTGATCTGAATACATTGACAACTTGCAGCTCTTTTATACAATAACACACAGACCCCACGCATATGCATTTTAAGGTTTTCTTGCCTGTCTGCCAAAAGGGCGCGTTTCAGCATTATATCTCATTACTTACATTACTCATGATGTTTCTTGCGCAAACAACTAAATTGCGTACACAACTTTACATTATCATAACTTCAACTATCTAATTTGCGTCGCTCTCGTGATTCGTGAAGCATAATAAAGGGTATAATACCGTATAAGGGTATAATACCAGCAAAAAAGGGCATAATTCCCGTGATCGCTTCGAAGCCTGATCAATATTCCGGTAATGAGACATTGCGTGTGATCACTAATCATGTTTCTATATGAACGAGTGATTTTGTGTGAATCATGAGGTAGCAAATACGGTTGGACAAAACAGTCTGCAATTTAATATACTCACTTCGTCGCCTATGCGCTTAGTCTGTTTATAAGTCTATAAACACATCTTTCCTTGGCAGAATTAGTAACTATATTTTTTCGAATGCGTTTCTTCCCACCCACTTTCAAAATTTGGCGCGGGATCGGCGCCCCCTTTTCATTTTTGCGCCCCCCAAAAATTGCCAGCTGGGGGGCCATGGCCCCCCGGCCCCCCCTGCCAGCACGCCACTGTTTACAGCACTCTGGGTACGAGGTTGATCGGGCATTTGAAATGCAAGTCATGAACTGATCTAACTAGTTTACATATAGCATTAATCTTTAGCCTAATTTCCTAGGTCTTTTGAACGAACAACACCAATCTTTTTCCAAAAGTTGACAATGTTGGAAGGTGAACTGGTGGAGGAATACATGGCAAGAAAGAGCGAGATATTTGGTTTGGCGTCTACGCACAGTTTAACCCAAATTATTAAATTAAGTGGCTCCCTCAACAAGAAAAACTTAACTCAGCACATTCAATTTTTCCGCAACAGACTGCATGGGTTGCCGCCACGTCTAGCCGACATTTACTCCATATATCGCCACTTCGCTTTCGAGGTAATTCACTGCACTCGAATTGCATGTTGCTTAAAGTGATGATAATCCCACAGTATTACTATTTATATATTAAATAGATACACTCTAAATTCCCCCCCCCCCCTCCCCCTGCGGACATAATTATGTTGTGTTAAACATTCGCATTTAACTTAAAGTGAAGTCTTCGAGGCAAATTACAATAACCATAAAGTAGAATAAATATTAAACGTAAGCACGAAATCACACAACTGATCTGTTTTAAACAAAACACATTACAGTAAATGAATAATGAAGAGATTATTTTTCTGTAACCGTTATTGAGTCAGGAATCAGGAATTAGAAAGTTAACATGAGAACAAGTTAATAAACAAGAAGTTGTTTAACTGCCGAATCATGCAGCGAAAAAAATAACAGTATTCGATTTTTATGCTTAAGGTCGTTAAATTGGTGAATAACCCTGACGTGATTGATTGTGGGACGGTGGATGAATTTTTCCAAACAAATTTTCTCCCTTATGTACGTTCGCTTTACGACGTCACAGTAAAAGTTCATACAAGTATCGACGAAGTTGTAAAACTTCTTTTGCAAGCTATCCAAACTAAAAAGTACGATGAAGACAAGGTACGTGTCTTATTGTTGAGTTATTTCAGCTGAGAGGTGTATCACTAAAAAAACAGTGCGGAAATTTGGGCTTTTCAAATCCCACATGGATTTTGTTGGTTTATTTTTAGGGATTATGATTTTGCAGAATTTCGAGCATTTTTTTCAATTTTTTTAGAAAGATATACGAGAGATTCTTGTGGGCCTTTTAGGTTTTTTTTTTGGATGGTGTGCGATATTTTTTTTAATGATACAACCCTGGATTTCAGCATAGGATGTACAGTTAACATCACACATGTTAGAGCGCCTTTTTTTTTCTCAGCTTCTATATATTTCATTACTTTGTAGTTACGCGAGTGGATGAGACCAAAGATGACAAACAAAAAAGCCAGAGTGGATTCTCTTGTCTTCATTTTGCCTAAAGCTCTGGACACAATAAAAGAAAGTTGCCCTGAGTGTCCAACTGAAAAAAACGTTAGGGCGCTCATCGAGCAAGCGGGCGGAAACAATGCCTTCAAGTCACTTTTTTCAGGTACTGCCAAAAAAGTCAGTTGTGTAGCTGTACCAAGGAACACAATCAGCAGGGATGTTCTCCAAGCATTAGACGAATGTGAGTGACACTTTCATATATGTGATGAAATAATCAACTAGCATAGGGGGTCCTGGGAGGGCAAACAGGAACTTAACATGGATTTGCTCAATTTTAGCGGAGGGCTTTTTATCAGTGGGAAAATCTCTGTAATATATTAGAAATGTTTAAAATGACCCTCTACGCCTGGGAAAGACCCGATTGAGTCAACAAGTGGACAACGCATCAATAAATATTACGCGGTGTTTGTACAAAACTTAAAATACCCTGTGGCGTGGACCGAACAAACATTGTTTGAACAATTTTATTTATATTTATAGTGTAAACCAGATATGTACCGTAAACCAGATAAGTCCAGCAAATTCTACACCTTCGTAGGGTAAAACCACGATTTTACCCGGAGCGATAAAGATATGCGATTGATTTAGTCTATTGTTCCATTTTCAATTATATTGTTCTATCTAAGTTATTCTAATATATGCAAAAAATATGAAGGCCTTATTATATTACTTGTATATTTTTTTAGGTTCATGACATAGATCGATGTATTAAGTGTCCATTAAAGCTGTCTCTAAAATCCTCGGTAAATTAGTTTGGCTCACATCATTTTTGGAGCAAACCCTATATTTTACCCTATAGCGAGGCCTATCTTAGTTACTATGGCAACGACGAATGTAAAAGTTACTGATCTTACGTCAGCTGAGGATATTCCATCATATTTGACTCAAATATGATGATAAAACCTTTAAATTGAAAAAAATGTTTTTAGGGTGGAAGACCCCCTTAATATCAACCAATCAGCGCAGACCGGAAATACACTTAAATATTGTAAACATAAACCGATAAACGTTGAACTCCATTTAAAGGCATTTATATAGTTTTGTATACAGACCGCCACTGGGGCATACTAAAAAAGTTAAAACGGCTTGAGATTTTACAGTGTACTATATCAAGTTGCACTTTTTATTACAGTCTGCATGTGTTTCTGTAGGCACAGTAAGTTTAAAGTTGTATATTACCCGCTAACTAATTCAGTTGTTTGGAATTGCTTCATGCTGCAATATTAATATATATATCCAGTATAATTAGTTAATAATATGATATACCATGGACATTGGACATAATTTAATATGTTTATAGTTCAAATTTTGCAACAAAAGGTGGAATTACAGTATTAAACATGCATGTGATAATTATTGTAAACAAAGTGATGAGTAAATTACTGTACATTTTAACGCTGCATACTTATAAATATTAAATAGTCAGTATAACATTGTAAAACAAGCTTAATACAAACAATACGCACTGAATATTATCAGAATAATTCTCAAAATATTGTTTCATATTGTTTCATGAAAGAGAAGCGATATATAAATGCCTTGTCCCTAGGTTTCAGTCTGCGAATTTGTTCAGTCTTTTCTTAGCCTAGAAGTCAGACAAGCCCAGGACACAATAAAGCATGCAAGCTTTTAGTATTCGTCTTTATATTGAATACTATATTATTTTACTGTAAAAAGTCAACAAGGATACAAAATACATGACACTTTTATCTCTACATTTTACAAACGGGAAGTGTAGTTTATGGAAGCTTGTCAATCACTTCATTTGAATCAGTTATCAACCAATCAGAGCTCTGCGTCCAAATATTGGACGCATGCATATATAATAATAAAATATCATAGGGATCCTTGCAGGCTCTCTTTCACCCAGAGAGCCTGCTCGCAGGCTAGAAGAAAACACAAAATAAATACATATTTAATATCTGTA